GTAAAACCCACCAGAAACAATTTCCAGCCCCTCTCCAAGGTGTACCACAACATCCAACAGCACACCAAGCTCACAACACCTCTCTGCTTTTCACTTAGAGCAGGCAGCAGCTTGAATTTTTTTTTTTACATAACTCGAGTCTTTCATTTGCCTTCTAAATCACTCCATTTAAATCTACCTACAAACCTGAAATTTTTGTGGTTAACTGCCTGAATGTGGCATCCCAGGAATCCCAGAGCTGGGAGCAAAGTGTGGCACTGCCCAGTGCAATGAGATGGCCAGGCTGGGGCTAAAAGTCATTAATGGTTCGAGCAACAGCAACATCTTCATCATTAGCAGCTCATTAGCGAGTTCTGCAATTGAGGATTTTTCCTTTAACTCGTGTCAGGTCTTGGTGCCAGGATGGAGGGCAGAGGGAATTTAGGAGATTAGCCCTAATGTGCCAAACACCACCGAAGTCATTACACGTCTGCACTCAGAAACAAATTTCCCATTCTCATCCCACTCCATATGGCTTAAGCACAGGTTTATAAAGAAATTATCTGTCTGATTAAATCAGATAAGTCACCCAGCTTGCTGCATTTCCAGGTTTTATAACAATAAATAATAATCTGTAGGTGTCATGGCTCTGAGAAATCCTTGGCTGGAGAGGAAGAGCAGAGGTGATTTCTGCCATTCCCAACACCTCAGAGGGAGCCACCAAAGGATTTCCAGGCACTTAAACCCCACAGGATCCTATTCTAGAAAAACCATAAATCCTCCAAACAAACCCTGAGAGATCCCAGACCTCAAAATTTAAAGTATCATAAAAGTGATGGGCAACAGGTCCTTTAAGGGAGACCTTAAAACACTCCCAGGACCTAAAARGGGAGGCTGGAGAAGGACTGGCTGTGATGTGACAATGGGAATGGCTTCCAGCTGAAAGARGGAGATTTAGATCAGAYTTTAGGATGGAWTTCCTCCCTGTAGGGTGGGCAGGCCTGGCACAGGGTGCCCAGAAAGCTGTGGATCCCTGAAGWGTCCAAGGCTGGACAGGGCTTGGAGCACCYTGRGATGRTGGAARGTGAAATGAGATKAACTTTGTGGCTCCTTCCAACCCAAATCATTGTATGATTCTTTTCTTGTTTCACTYTTTGGATATCGAATTGCAACTTTTAATAACTGCACCCACACAAAGATCCCCCAGCACGCRTGTTCCTATTAGTTCCATAATGAATACACGCTCATTTTTTAAATTACCAAAACTCTCAGAAACCTTCCTGGACTAAATAGACAATTACTTCTTCTGAGAGGTACTAAGAGTCAACAGAAAAAATGGTTCTGGGAAAGTGTATGGAAAAGATTAACCCAAAACAAAGGCGGCTGTTGAAAACGGTGACAGAAATAGGATTCCGGTTGTCAAGGAGCACACGTTTTAAAATGAAATTATACTGCATCCTTCTGAATGAAGCTATTATTGGAAGCTAACAAGCTCTATTTAAGAGATAAGCATTTAACAGAGTCAAACGGTTGGGGTTTTTTATTCAAATGAATAAAACTGAATATTCATTTGAATAATCTTTCTTGTAAAAGAAAAGACAAAGAAGAGGGGAAAAAATAAAGTAAGAGGCAAACAGATGCCCCGGACGAGAGGCTCTGAGCCAAGCAGCAGCACTAAAGGAAGCTGAGACATGGATCCATGACCTTCAGGTGAAAAACCCTCCTCTGGCACCTGCTGGGAAAAAGGAATTATTCCACTCCATTCATCTGCTGGTTAATGAGCACCAAAACAACGCCAGCCCCAACATCTGACAGCCCCATCACATCTTCCAACACACCAAAAGGAAGAAACCAGGAGGAATTTCCCCATGGAAAGGGTGGTCAGGCTCAGCAGGAGCTGCCCAGGGAAGTTTGGATTCCCCATCCCTGGAGGTGGACTTGGAGGTGGCACTGAGGACTGTGGGCTGGGGACAAGGTGGGCATCGGGCACAGCTTGGACTCGATGATCTCAGAGGCTTTTTCCAACCTAAATGATTTTGAGAAAAGCCTCCTTTGGTCCTGAGCCCTGTTCTGCCACAGAAGCTGCCCAGTCCTGTTGGGCTCTGTGCATCTCCACAGGGTCAGCTCAGCAAATTCTGCCAGAGTATTCCAGAAATAAGAGAAACATTGTTCAGAGAAAGTGACTGAAACCACAGACAGACTAAAATACTGCARAAGAACAGGCAGAAGCCATAAATGCTATTAAGAATCCAGACTGAAGATCCCAAATGTCAMTGCTCCCATGTTCCGTATTTTGATTTTTTTTCACACTCAAAACAACTGTATTTCACACTTCTGTCATCACTCGAGAGTTTTTACGTCAACCTCAGTAAAATATAGCTGAGATGACGACATCAGTGCTCTGAAATCCATCTCCTGTGCGTGGCTGGCAGCCCCATCCCACAGTGATCCGTGTCACAACTGTGGCTGTGCACACTGAGGATGTCACCCGAGGATGTCACCCAGGATGTCACCCAAGGATGTCACCCGAGGATGTCACCCAAGGATGTCACCCAAGGATGTCACAGCTGCCACAATCCCACCAAAGCAGCTAAGCCAGGCCAAGAGCTCGCTCTCAAACCTGGGAAACAAGGTGTTGTGGGTTAAGATTTCTCCTTTTGTTTCCTTTCTTGGGGAATTTTTCTTTCCTTCCCATTTTGTTGCGGGGATGCACTGATTGCCAGGTCATCCTTTTGATGGCTGGGCTATTAGTAAAGACAATAGGACCTACACCTCAACAAAATGATCTTGCTAAGCACTGGAAGGGGGTGGGTATGTGTGTGTATGGGTGTGGTGGGGGATAACTTCACTTCCTGCCCTGCTTGGCTCAGAGAGGAGGTTGAGGATGTCACCCAAGGATGTCACCCGAGGATGTCACCCGAGGATGTCATGGCTGCCACATTCCTACCAAAGCGGCTCAGCCAGGCCAAGAGCTCGCTCTCAAACCTGGGAAACAAGGTGTTGTGGGTTAAAATTTCTCCTTTTGTTTCCTTTCTTGGGGAATTTTTCTTTCTTTCCCATTTTGTTGCTGGGATTCACTGATTGCCAGGTCATCCTTTTGATGGCAGGGTGATTGGTAAAGACAATAGGACCTACACCCCACCCAAACGAT